ACCCCCCACATAATGAAGAAATATAGTTTTAAGATGTGCTATATTAATGGGATAAAGTGCTCAATATCAGAGATAGAGCGTATGTAAATATAAAAGTGAACATTGAAGTCAGAAGCGACAGGCTGTTTCATGCTAGACGCAATTGTCATTTTATTTCCTCCCCTTCCGAATCAAACTGCACATATTGGAAATAGGACTATATAGAGACTTTGTGGTATTATGGTGACTGCGTTAAGTATGGTAAGTAAGAATGTGTTATTGTTGGTATTTTGATGAGCTTTCTTCATGCAGTATAAATTGTAATCATTGTAAATATTCATTGGAGTTTCATGTTAAAATGTTGTTATGTTATTCTATCCCCTTCCCACTCAAACTGTACATATCGGAACGTGTTAGGACTTCATAGAGACTTTGAGGCATTATGGTATCTGTTGTAAGAATGGTAAGTGAGAATGTATTGTTTTGGTGTAACGAATACTGCAGTATGTTTGGGTCAATAATCGTGGCTAGCTAAGTTTCAGATAAGACAGATAGAAGATCAGCCTTCACTTATCCCTCTTTTGGCCTTCTTCCACATTTTTGTATTTTTTGAATATATAACTCTAGTATCCAGAGTTTATGAATTTAAGCGTAGTACAAGATTGGTGTCAAGGCCTTATCATTTTATAGTTGAAATGGCTGGAGGTAACTGTAAGTTCTATGCTAACAATTTCTTCGATCACACTTTACGCTTGTGGAACTCTCTTCCGGCTTTGTACTTCGCAATCAATTTTGATATTCAAACATGTAAATGCAATGTCAATTGTTATCTTCTGTTTTCTTAATTCCTGTTCTTTTGTAGTTCTCTCTCCTTAATCCAGTTTTTTTTTCTCGTATTCTCTCAAACTCTTGAAATTTAGTGACTTTATTGTCTTGCTTGGGGTGAAATAATTAAAAAAAAGCTTTAGATTGGCAGTAAGATGTCATCATTTTACAGTTGAAATAGCTATATGTAACCGTAAGTTCTATGCTAACAGTTTCTTCTCTAGCATGTGGAATTCTATTCCGGCTTCTTACTTTCCAGTCAATTTTAGTCTTCAGAATTTAAATGCAATGTCAATCGGGATCTTCTGTCTTCTTAATTCTTGTTCTTCTCTCTGTGTCTGTGTGTGTGTCTCTCTCTCCCCTTAATAGTATTATTTTACACTGAGTAACCCCCTTGTGTCTTTATTGCCTTGCTTGGGATGAAACAGAATCCGGCTTTGTTACATTTTATAAATTTATACATGTCAGTAGACACGGGAACTTTTAATAACGTAATAAAGGAACGAGAGAAGAAAGGACTAATTATTATGTTAACCAAAATATTAGGTTGGTGCAAAAATAATGCCGTAATAATGTCGTTTTTTGGCGTATTTTTTAACGTAAAAAAAACGGCATTATTACGTCATTATTTTTGCACCAACCTAATATATAGTTGTCAGTAAACGGAATGCCCAATATGGGAACTACGAAATGGAAACACCAAAATCGAGCAACCACGAAAATTTGAATACTTAGGAAGAGCTTTAAAGAACAACAGAATGTATGATATCGTAATCAGAAGATGGAATAGGATAGCGAAATATGCCTTCCAAAAGCTAAGCATAGTATGAAGAAATAGGAAAATGTCGTTAGAAACATAGAAAATAGTTCTTATCCGTTATTCATTACAGATGAGGAAGAGGCTTGATGTGACTTAAATGTGATTATACAGAAAGATGTTGAGAATGTCATGGGCCGAATATGTGAACAACGACGAAACATCTACGAAGAGAGGACGGAAAGTGTGAGAATGAAATCAGAAGATCGCATTGGGATAGTTAAAGATGCCTTCCAAAAGCTAAGCATAATATTAAGAAACAGGAAAATGTCGTTAGAAACAAAGAAAATAGTACTTATCCGTTATTCATTACAGATGAAGAAGAGACTTGAAGCGACAGAAATGTAGTTCTACAGAAAGATGTTGAGGATACCATGGACGAAACATGTGAGCAGCGACGAAATACCTATGAACAGAGGACGGAAAGTGTGAGAATGAAATCAGATACACATTGGGGTAGGGAAAGGTGCCTTCCAAAAGTTAAGCATAGTATTAAGAAACATGAAAATCTCTTTCGAAAAACAGAAAGTACTTATCCGTTATTCATCGCAGATGAAGAAGAGGCTTGAAGCGATTGAAATGTGGTTCTACAGAAAGTTGTTGAGGATATCATGGACTGAACAGGTGAGCAATGACGAAATATCCATGAACAGAGAACGGAAAGTGTGTTAGCGAAATCAGAAACGCATTATGACAGCGAAATATGCCTTCCAAAAGCTAAGCAAATCATTAAGAAACAAGAAAATGTCGTTCGAAAAAGCTAACCTTCGAAGAAAAGAAAGTAATAATCCGTTATTCATTACAGATGAAGAGGAGACTTAAAGCAACAGAAATACGGTTTTACAGAAAGATGTTGAGGATGCCATGGGCCGAACATGT